TCAAACTGTTCCGGAAGGAGAATGTTGTTTTCCTCGACAAACTTGAGCAAACGATTGAGAATGAGTTTCTCGAACAATTTACTCAGCGCTGAAAGGAGGCTGATTGGTCTGTAGCTTGAAGGCAATGTTGGATCCTTACCGGGTTTGCGGATTGGTATGATTTTTGCTACTTTCCAGATACTTGGAAAGTAGTGCAGTTCCAAACATCTGTTGAAGATAGCGGTTAGAAGAGACTGCACTTTCATGCTGAGTCTCTTCAAGATCAAGTTGAATATACCGTCAAACCCGGGAGCCTTCATGTTCTTGGTACATTTCAGCGCTGAGCAAATCTGTTGTACTGTAATCATATCCGCCGGAGGCACGACACAAGGGGAGACATCTAAGTTTTGAACGCATTGCGCAACCTGATCATCGAGCGGACTTTGGATAGTCGAGTTGGTTACTGTGTATAGCCAATAGGAAGCGAGAAAATATGGTACCGGCAGAGCAGGTTGTCTATATAACAGGTAGCTAACTGCGCCTTCGCATTAGTTGCGATTCACCCGTTCAACGGTAAACAACCAGGAGACATGACTGGTCGTGGCAAGGGTGGCAAAGGATTTGGTAAAGGAGTCGCCAAGTGTCATCGTGTGATAACATCCAGGGCCTGCCATTCGTCGTCTGGCTCGACGTGGTGGTGTCAAGCTCATCTCCGGTCTGAAGTACGAGGAAACCCGAGGTGTGCCGAGAAAAAGTGATCCGTGATGCCGTCACTGAATACGCAGCTGCGTACACGTCATCATCATCTTCCAAAGCCTGTACTACCATCGGCCCTTTTTAGGGCCACCAACATTTTTCAAAAGAGTTAATTTTCTGAACATGTCCCAACTAAAATTCATATCAAAAGGTTCTTTTCAGGGCAATCATAGTCATACTAAAGAGTATAAACCCCGCTAAAATTCCTATTCCTATACAAAACACAAGCTCCTGATGCAGTTAACAAAAATATTTATTATATCATACCACGTAGTCCTACGTCATCATTGCGTTCAACCCCATTGGGCTGTCCCTTGTAGTTTTTTTTTAATGTGTGACCTTTACTTTTAATTTTAAATTATCCAACCTTTGGAGCTACATTGAGTCTGTTGCTGTTGAAAAAAATTAAAGAAGAATTGTGAATACTTATTGAGGTTCCCAAAACTTCAGATAACTTAACTTCACGAAAATTGTAGGAACCTAATAGAAGTTACGAGGATTACCGATAGACTACTGGAACTTTGGGGAAGTTCAGAAAACTTCAGGATCTTTCCAGAAGTTTCTAAAATTTCAAGCTGGTTCCATTAACTTCAGAGAAGTTGAAGAAACTTTCATGAAGCTCCGAGAATTCAAGGTATATCTAGAGAATTTCAAGTCCAGGCAACTTCACGGAAGTCCAGACAACTTCACAGAAGTTCAGTCATCTTCACAGAAGTTCAGATAACTTCAGGGAAGGTTCGAGATCTTCAGGAAAGTTCAGACTTTTAGGGTGGTTAAAGAACCTGTAAGAATGATCTGAAAATTTTAGGAAACTTCAGAATAGGAATTTGACTGTCAAATACAAACAATCGTCGCGTACCTCGCATAACTGGTCGACAAAAAAGCCATAATCAACAATGATTTGTTGATGTTTGGAACCTAATTCACATACACGGTAACCGCAAAATATCCAATAATGAGTACAAAATAAGCATTTTCGAGGGAAACTTGGACAACCCATTAAATGAGTATAATTTTACCCATTTATGAGTAATTACAACTACAAAAACAAGTAGTAAGTATTCATTTTTGATTAAAAAATACATATAGCTAAATTGATGCAAGATTTCGATCAAGTGACGATAATCACTGTTAATCACAGACCACCTGACAAAAAACCGTTATTTTCTGTAAGTCACCAACTTGTAATTCACTTGTAAATTTTGAAACATCTTAAGCTATGTAACAATTCTTTGTAGATCCCTTGAAAAAGATGGAATATTCCATTGAAACGTTGGGAGTAGAGGAAAAACATAGTTTTACTCGCTAAAAGACTGAAAGCCGATAAAATTTGTTTACAAATAGTCCACCAGTCGATAGCATTACTACAAATACTCATAAATTGGTAATATTTTTACTCATTTAATGTGTAGTCCCAGTCTCCCTCGAAAATGCTTACTTTGTAGTCATTATTGGGTATTTTGAGATTACCGTGTATGGAAAATCAATGAGCGTAAACAGGTGAGGCCCAGTAAATTTGTCGTCTATTTCGTTCTCCGGCTGATCAAATGGATAACGGAGTTTGACGTCACACTCCTTCAACCTTTTAAACACCGGAAGAACGAAAGAGATGACAAATTCACTGAGCCTTACATATTTATATCTCACTGATAGCTGGTTCAGTAGGCCGATTTGACAGCACATCCTGCCACTGGTCCTAATCACCGACGGACATCGATGTCTAAAGTGCACCCTACATGGCAGAAGTATTTTCAATACAATCCGATGGACAAATGACAAATTTCCTGACAAAAGATGCCCATGATCAGCCCCAAACGCTGCTGTAGTCAAAACTGGACCCTACACGATTGCTGTTCTTGACAATAATCCTACATATTAACAATACATTATATATTGACGTCATTTCATTGGTATTAACGACGCTTCAGGGTTTTCCCATTTTTATCCAAATCTCTCATACAATTTTCAACGTGCACAAAATTGTTTCTATTCCCAACTTATCCTTTCTGCATGTACACAAATTGTCAAGCAAGACGTACAGTTTCTCTAAGTTTTCAGGCGACCGCGAAGCACTCTGCCATATTCACTGTCAGGTTTCAATGATCTCCACAACAAACATGGTGCTAAGAAATGTCGAAACCGACGGAGAAGGCACTAACGCTAAAAGTCAATATTTTCGACCCCCTCCCCGCCGTTTGTAACAAAACGTGACACATTCAAAAAAATCCTATCAATTATGTTTTTCCCTGAAAATTTCAATTAATTACTAGACTGAAAAAATGCATCTTAACCAGGTACTTGTATTAAATCATGAGCCTTTTCACAATAGGGGATTCATTTTCATGTGCTTTAACAGGCGGCCATGTCGTACAGTGGTTAAAAAGTTGAAATTCATTAACTTAACATGACCTCAATGCCTTAAATTTGCTTATGGTCTACAGTTTAAAATCATAACCTCTGTTTATTTTTTTTTTGTTTTTCTTTAAGATTTTCAGAATAAATGGGCTTGATCAGATTACCAGGTTTGTTAAAAATTTACGTTTGCATTGCATTGACATAAATTTGATAGTTAGACCATAAATTTAGCTGTTACTTTGCCCCAACGTGTCCAAAAATAAATCCACCACGCAGAATTTAAAAAAAAATGCCCTCAGCAAAATAAACCAGCTAAATTAATAAGTTCTGCATCTTACGCAAATGCATATCATGAGTGCAACTTACATCCCTGTCGCTTCTTCTTCTTATTATTATTATTACTGATTCTTTTACCCTAATAAAAATACCATAAACGAACGATAACCCAAATAATAGAACTATTCTACAAATGTTTTGGATAGCGACGTTGGTGGTGTGGTGATTACCTCTCACCTCAGTAGGCCAGGGTTCAACCCCAGTTGGCGCCGCCGGGATGTTCTGAGGCATAACATCTCTGATCACGCCTTCCAAGGGAAGAAAAGCCGTTGGTCCCCGGTTCATGAGTTGATGGGTCGATATGTAGCAGCCCAGTGGCAGGCGCGTGGGTAACATGTTATACCGTGACAGCGGGCCCAACACAGCAAAATAAATGATTTGAGCCCGGGACATGCTGCTTACTCTCAAACGCTACTGTTGGTATAGGCCCTGTCACTGGCCTGATAGGTAGGATACAGTAAAGCCCTACAGTAAAAGTATGGACGTCTGTCAAAAGTTGTTCCAATCGAACCGTCAAAATGCACCGCTTTGCTCGATTGGAACAGCTTTTTCAGTTTTGTGGTGACAGTCGTCCATACTTTTACTGTAGGGCTTTAGGATACAGGTGTGGGAACTGCCTTCCTGGCGTTGGTAGCATTGGTGCTCAGCACGGAAAACAAGATCGACGGAAAACAAATCAAGAAAGAAAAAAATATGGTTTGGATGACGTCGATTGCCAGATTAGGTTTATTATTGCAGGCGTAGGTATTATTTGAAAATGGCACAAAAGCTTTTGTAAACAAAAGTTTTAAGGACCTTAACACGCGAACCGAAGTAGTAAAGTAATTGCCAGATTAGGTTTATTATTGCAGGCGTATGTATTATTTGAAAATGGCACAAAAGCTTTTGTAAACAAAAGTTTTAAGGACCTTAACACGCGAACCGAAGTAGTAAAGTAATACCCCGTTCACATTACAGTCTATATCACGTAATATAGGCTGTCTTGCAATGAGCACTCATACATATGATTTCCAGTGAAAACTAGATGTATGAGTGCTCATTGCAAGACAGCGTATATCACGTGATATACGGTGTAACGTGAACGGGGTATAAAACCGAATCACAACTAGGGGCCCATGCATTAATTATGTCACGCTAAATCGAGCAAAAAATTACCCCTCCCCCCTATCGTGACGTTTTTCCTATACCTAATGCATTGCTTGTCACAAAATCTTAGACTCCCTCTCCCTCCCCATTAGAGCGTGACATAATATATGCATCAACCCTAGTGGCTAATTTCGCTTTTCAACTGTATCGATAATAATATTATATGTATTATATTATACTCAAATTAGAGTTGTTTTAAATTGAACGTATGCCTGTACGCAGCCACATCATTGCCCCTACCGGACTAACGATTGCGCACTACTGCACTGTCAAGTCATATGATCACAAACGTCAAAACCCGTTATATGTCGTAACGTGCGCTTGTATTGGTGCCAGACGTTCATTCATAAACATTGCTGTCCGACTCCCTTTCTTCGCTGTCCAGCATTCGAACTGAAGATTCTTTCTTTCAGATTGTTTTGTTGCGTTCGGTCGTGCGGTCGGGATCAATATACGTTTCTAAGTAATTGAACTGTTGTTAAACCTGTGAGATTGAATTAGAAGTTTGTCGAAACAAGTTCAATTGATCGTGACAGTACTCATCAAGTAGAAAGAAATGGCAGTGTATTTGATGCCGAAGACTCGATTGTAAGTAATAATTATTGATTGTGAACAACACTATCGGGAACTAGGACATATCGATGTGTTTCGTATTACACTTCCGACTTCGTTAACCATTAGAATCTGATCGGAATATGATAGAAAAATGCACTGCTGCACGTTATAGGATTAACATCACATTCTTTCGCCTTGGCGACCACGAAGCTCGAACATATGAGCAATTATTGTTCCTGAATGTTATAGGTATCCAGTCACATGTTTCTGTGCCTGTTGAGTTTGATTCCTACCTTCACATGCGACTGCCCAAGTGTGTGTATTTTTAGAATCATTTTTGTTTCTGTTTTAAACTAAAAGAAAGGACTTGACCATTCTTCCGACAGGTAGGTGTTAGCAGCATTAAATATGCGCCATCGTTTTGATGTTGGTTACACAATCAATTCAGCCAGCGCGGTGCCGACGAGAAGACTGGTCAATGTTGAACCAGTTTCCGTTTTTTTGTGTTTTACTTTGTTACATTTGGTTGGAGAAATGTGCCAACAAACTGATAACATAGATTAGGTCCGGTAGATTGTCGGAGATAAGGTTTACCAGCGTATGAATGGCGTGCATAGATGTTTGCTTATATGCGCGATAAGCTTGGAAATTAGTGCATGTAGTGTTTTACAGGTTTTGCAAGATCGATATCGTATCGTTAAAAATAATAGTTATTGATATTCTTCAGACAAGTTAAGTTAATTGAATAACATATCTACGACTTAGTCTTTCCCTTGATTGCGTATCATCATGTTATAATATGTTACAATGCGCCATATCGAGTTTCGTCGCAACAATGTTTTAGCTTGTTTACCGGCAGGCACAGATTTTTCCGTAGCTCACTGACACGCATTTATTATTCATTTGAAAGGGTTACTACAAACCATTCCCCTAGGGAACCTATTGTAGCGATGCGCAGAGCATCCCTAATCATGCTCCGCAGTACGCACCTTATCTTTATGGGGAGAACGAAATCGGTCATTATCAAATAGTTGTCGGTACCCGTCAGGAGGTGTTCCATAATGTGACTACTCAGTATACACATGCTGTTATCAGTAGATGAACCTCTAAACATATTATTCGTGTGAATAGTGTAACCAGTAGCAGTGCTAGAATCGTAGGTGCCTTTTACTGAACATGTAAATATATATAGGATCTTAACTTATAGGTTCACTTTAGTTAGGGTAGAGAACTACTTCGGCCTAATCGCCCATTGATTTCAGAGTTAACATGTCAATTATGCATTTGGTACGATACTTTAGTTAATAAGCTACCAACGAAGTCAATGAGAACGCGTGATATGAAGGTTTGCACCCATTATTCCCAAAAACAAAAGAAGCGCTCTGACCGAATCAATTTTTATCTTCATCCGATAGGCCGAAGTGAATTCATTGGTGTTTTAATGCGTTAGGCCGAGTTTAGAATCCGTAGGCCGAGTTTGGCGTAAAGAAGTAGTGTTAGACTTTTGACAATATCTCAACGATTGGTTTCTCTTTATCAAATCTTACGATACATACTGAAAGGTAAATAAATTTGGAATCCATCAGTAATAATAACATTCCGTTTGGTGCTAAACTGCGCTAGATTAAGAAAGACTAAATGTGGGTTGTGCTTAATAGGCCGGAAATAGGGTAGTTAACCCTACCACATTGTATATTCAAATATAATGCGAAACGTGGTAAAAATGTAACTTTCTTATAGTTGACTAGGTAGGGCTGATAGTTCTTGCTGATTTACGATAGCGATTTTGAGCCCGAAATGAATATCGGTCGGTGTGTTTGGTTCCCACGATAGTTTATCCCGTGCCGTGCCGGTGAGCTTGGATATTCTAATAGTTTAACTTTGAACGAAGCATGTCGACATATTCGACAACCTTGTCAGTAGTGCGATAATATTCCAACTTTGAAAATCAAGATCATGCTCAAACATATTGCGACCACACATTTTGTAAAGACACCATTGTTTGGTTCTTTTTCGATGAGGATGCTTTGATGATTTCAGATGAATTTATCAAAGTTTCATAAACTATTGGAACAATTCACGAACTTGCCTGAAGACGTTTTACAGAGCTGTTCGATATAATAGCAATGCATACCGATTTTTATATAAAATTGTCAACTTTGACGTGTTGTAACTTTGTTTTTTTTTCATTTCGTTTATTTGGCAGGCTCAAATGTTATAAAAATAACTTAGCGGAGCCGAGTAACATGGAATACCAATTTTGGTACTCAAAATACAAAAAAAAAAGATATGACAATGCATTTTATCATAGGATTTTTCTGGGTGGCTATCGAAGCGGCGACAAAGCGAGCTTCTCCCGTGCACGCAACTTCTTTCTTTCCCGAATTTGTTCCTCATTTTCATTGAACCCGAATCGTGATCGCTGCTGCTGCTTCTGAACGTCGTTTCCCGTTGCATGCTCTCCACTACTCTCGTCGGTCGTCGGGGTCGTTACGTCCATTTCGTTATTTGCAATCAACATCTCCAACCCCGTGTCCGTTTCCTGGTCGCTAATGACTAACGACTCACTTTCCCCACTACACCACCATACGTACTGCTGCTGTTTTGTTTTCTTTCATTTAGCTGCTTTCCTTTTTCCTTCAGTTGCTTCTCCGGTTCCTTCCGAGCCTTCCGCTTGGGGCAGGAAAGCTTCCGGTGTCCGTCCGCCTTGCACAGAAAACATTTATCTTTGTTGCCATCATAAAAAATATTTCCTTTGCGATTGAAGAAATGTAATGACGTGGGGATTTCCTTCTTCACATCCATATATATACCGCGTATTCCTGTATATACCTCAAAACACAGATCAGTCTGAAATTTCTCCCGGATGATGGGTTTAATTTTCCCATATTTCCCCAGCACTTTATCCAGCTCGTTGTCGGGTACCTCTGGTGGTAAGTCATACACACGCACATATTGAATGAATTCACCAGCATGCGACATGCGTAGCTTTGCCGTCGTTCCATTCGCATAATGGAAGATTAAATCTTCCGAATTGAATGTCAGAGCATGGAGCATCGCTTCCTCTGATTTGAACTTCATGAAGACTCCTCTTTCCTCACCAATGTGATAAACAGCTTCCATTTCAGCCGGATCCGCGTCGAATGCTTTGGCGAAATTTACTATCTCTCCGATGTTTGGTTTGGCATCACAATGGCTGAAGCTAAACTTGATGGTGTTTTTTACTTCACACATCTTACACCGTAGCAACAAAAGGCACCGAACTGCTAGCAACGAACAAAGAGCAACTATATAATAGCGAGTCTCGAAAACAGGCTATTGCGTGGTTCACACCGAAATAAAAAATCGACTGCTGCTGTAGACAGCTGTGGGACAACTCGTTGTAACTTTGTTATCTTATGATGAATTGAGGTTTCACCGTTGGCACTGAAATACAAATATGTACAATTTTGAGAAAATAAAATAACACATTTTTTTAGCACCTGCCGTCAAGTGAGATGCTTGATAAAATTGTTCGTAGTAATAACAGTTTAAATAATTTGAATTTCAACTCAATTTTGAGTTTTCAAATTTTAAAATACTCAGTACTCATACAGTACGCGCCATAAAAAATTGCTAACATTTTCATACAAATCGTATGAAGAAATTCGCATTTTTGTTATGGCTCATAGAGTAAGGTGGGGCAAACTCCAAGTAAGAGTGAGGCAAAATTTCTTTTCAGCAATGGGGCAAAAGTTCGCAAACTTAATGGCAGTTTTTGAGAAGTTTTGCCACTGTAAATCTATAAATGCCCCATGATGGTGTGTAGGACATAAAAAAACATTTGTTTGTGCTCAGATTTAGGCATAGCTTGGTAAATAACGAAGATAGTGGTTTTCCGCAATAAATGCCAAAGGGTCACAATTTTTCTGGACTTTTGTCACATTCTGCTCCATTCAGTGAAGTGAGTCGGGAATCGGGTACATCCCCTTTACCAAACTCATCCGTTGATGAGGGATGGTAAGGGGTGTTTCCTCCCGCTTTCTACTCTCTATATACAATTTACTCTAACGGAACGATCAACTCTATACTTTCATCTCCTCATCTATCTGATATTTGACGTTGAGCATCTGCAACTATGTATCGTTAACTTCAAGCTTGAAATAATAAATCCATGAATCCAAGCTTGGAAAAACTTTTCGTCTGATTAATTTTAGAAGATTGATCATTCAAAATGTTTTTCAAATTTTGATCTAGAAAAATTACGAAATCAACTATAAAGTTTCTTAAATTTTACTTCCAAACTTCATTTAAATAGGGAAATTTACGTATTTTTACAGCGTTCGCACTTCTATTAGCAATTTCTTAGCGTCACGCGCACATATGACGTCTTTGTTTGTTTACATTTATCTGCTGCTTATTGTTCTATCCATTCCAATCGAGAGAATTGTCCAAAACAGATTTTACAACGCTCTAAACTTTTCAGTTGAGTGTGACTATTGTCGGCAACGTCTGTTTTTCGGCATATATTCCATTTGAACTGCGTGCTAACCAGCTGTTCTATTATCGCCAACTCGAAATCAGCCGTACCTTGTAGTGCGTGTATTGCATTTAAAGAAATACCTGGCATAACAGGTTTGATCAGTCGTAAAAATGTAATCAGATTGAAGCTGAAAGGCTAAAGAATCGGGTAAATTCTTTGACTATATGTATAGTATTACTTCTGCGTGAAGTCAACAATTTACATAGTTGAAGATGCTAATTTCAAATAACAGACTAAAGTGGTAATTTTTATACGATAGATTACTGTCATTGGTCGAAAGGTACATTAGCAGCACCTACCCTACCCGTGTCCCCTCGAGATCGTCAAGTCGACGATGACAGGAGCACATCCCAAGTAACAATTTTGGTTTTATGAGGGTTCTGTAGACCATGATTTAGACTTGTAGAATGCTATAAAACCGCGATAAAACCTGCAATGCTACTTGGGATACTATGGTAGAGGTAACAATAGCTACTGTTTCAAACCAAGGTTGCAAAGACTCATTTCAGCTAAAACAATGTTTTTCTAAATTATGAAATAATTAGATGCCATGATCAAATTTTGAATTGGTAGGATACAAGAAGAGGTTGCAAAGAATGTGTTTGACATATTAAACCTGTTTATTTCACTTCATGAGAGTCACAATCAGCGATTTTTCACAAACTCACTCACTCACTCACTCACTCACTCAGCGATCAGCAAATCGCTGATTGTGACTCATAGAAAGCAAAATTTACAGGTTTTATGTTTCCAACGCATACTTTGTAACCTCTTCTTGTAAGTTACAAGTAAAACATGCCATCATACCATCTTTTGGTTTTATTATTCCGAAAAACATTATTTTAGCTGAAATGAGTCTTTGCAACCTTGTTTCAAACACATCGTTGGTACATGAGCGGGTCGGTGATCATCTCTTTTTGCCAGTGGTTGCGGGGGGACACCCCTCATCATCCCTCTCCAAAGAAGGAGTTTGATAAAACTGATTTGTATCTTCCTAAAAGTTGTCTAGCTCGCTTTCTACTTCTATATGCAATTTTCACACTGCCGTACTCTAAACGGAACTATCAATTCTATACTTTCATCTCCTTTTTTTTTTTCCTTTATTTAACGTCGGTCTCTGTTCCGCAATCTAGTGCCAATCACCGACGGACATCGATTGCCATCCATTGACGGCAACCGAATGTGCAGGAAGGCAGCTTCCACACCTGCGTAGGATATCGCACCCATTCACAACACACATGGGCCGGGACCAACGGCTTTACTTCCCTTCCGAAGGAAGGCGTGACCAGAGATTTTTATGCCTCAGAAAAATCCCACCGACCTCGGCTGGGATTGAACCCAGACCCACTGGGGTGTTAGAAAGCAGTCACGCTTACCACTACACCACCGGCGCCGGCTACTTTCATCTCCTCATCTATCGTATAAAAATTACCACTTTAGTCTGTTATTTGAAATTAGCATCTTCAACTACGGTTAAATTCGTTCAGCGAAGTATTTTGATGCGAAAATACAGTGAAATTAACGTTTAAATTTTAGTTGCCGAAAACAGTCAATGGGTGCCGAAGCCATAATTTACCCTATGTAAATAAAGTTTCTATTCCGGATAAAATTATCCATTCAAGTTATTTCCGCCTCTCCCAATCCCCTCACATGTTTAACAGTCAGAATACTAAGGGTGCAAATTGCGCGTCGATACTGTGACGCAGCACGCCTGTCCCGTTCCCGAGAAGCGAGTTTGCACCAGTTGCAATACCCCTTCCCCTTCTCCCTTCAACAGTGGACGACATAACTAAACGATCCCTCACTACCGATCTCCTGTTATCGAACAGTAAATAGAGATGAGTGAGGTCGGAATATGAGCAGAATCCATATTCACATGGATTATTAACTAATCATAAGTCCCCCCCCCCCCCTTACTTTCGCTGGTGTCGTCAGTGATATATAGCAAAAAATGTTTGCACATGCCTGAAACGTGCTTTCTTATTCGCTTGTAGATACCTACCTACCTACATTCACTAACGCATTCATCAAAGAAAGAATCTAGCCCTCTTGTGAGCCGTAGCGCGTGGAAAATTAGAGAAACACGCGATCTCTCCTCAGGAAGGCGGAGTCTCGTGGAGCCGCCTGATACCTTGAACAGTGTCAATTCATACCGTATGATGACGACGACGACAACCGGCCAAACTCTCACTATAATTTGTTGTCAAGGTCGTTTTCATTTAGCCGGGTGAGATTGTTGGTGGGTATTGTATTGTTCGTACCTACATGTACATGTGCTAGGGTTGTGATAGTAGACATGTGGGTAGTTTGAAATTTCGGCCAACCGACCGACGATGACGATGTTGCGCTCGCAAACTGCTTATCATTCGCGAGCTCGTCAGTTGATTACTATCAGCCGGTAGGAACGAATCTTGCCGAGTCGAGAAATCCCCTGTCTGCCGATCGGATGGCTCCGTTTGTTTGGAAGAGGTTGTTGAACCTTTAGACGCGATGTGATTTCAGTTACATTTAAATCTAGCTATCTATCTAGCAGTGAAAGCAAAATGAACCTAATCTGGAATTGGTTTGTTTTCTTTTATCGCAGATTATCGAAAGCGGTCAATTTCAAACCACTCCCCAACAAATGGTCGACAAAATGGACGGTAGTTAGGCGGTCGATCTCAAGCGGCAAGCATCAGGAGCAGAGTTCGACTCAGCAACATTCTAGCCACCAGCAGCAGCAGCAGCAGCAACAACAACAGCAACAGCAGCAGCAAGGTCGCCAATCTACAGGTAAATTTTACAAAATTCAGAGAAAATGGAGTTGGAAGGCAGGAGCGGGTTGGACTATATTATCCGTTTTGGATTGGTGGTTACTAGCTGCCGGCGGCTGGTTAACATGGCGGGGCGTCTTTCTTCGTTGGACCCCGATCGGCATCTGCATGATCGCCGCAGCACAATGGCACCTTCATAATCGTGAACTCGATAGGAAGGGCCTCCCACGAACGGCAGCTTCATGGCAGGTAAAAATCTTTGCTCTTAAAATTTTCTCAGTGATCTCTGATCTTGCTTATCACGTTTCTTCTTTGCGTTTAAAAAATTTAAAAGCTCGCTACTCATTGCGCAAAACGTAAAGCAAGCTTGGGCATTATTGAATTAACTGAACACACTAGCATCAACCAATATTCATACAATTCACGATATATTCCACAGATGAACGTGTATTGTTCCCTGCCATTGAGGTTGATGAGCAGATGCTGGGGTTGGTTGGCAGACTGTCGCGTGCCGACGCCCGCCAGGCCCCTCGTCTATGGTCTGTACTCAACGGCATTCGGTGTGAACATCGAGGAAGCTGCGTCGTCCGATTTCAAGTAAGTGTAGTGATTTAATCAATTGACATATTCCTTTTTAGATTTGCTACAGTTTTTCCACGTCCCAGAGACCGCAAATCAAAATTGATTGTTCCACATTCTTTTTTGCGCTAGCTCACTAGTAGCTACAAGTCCTTCTGGCAAGTGTATAGACAATAGATAACCGTTCGTGAAAAAAGTTTGATTGGCTTAAATTTGACAGATTCTGATTTTCAGTGAATGAAAAGGTAAACGTAAATTGCATTCCTTCAGTTGCTTAGTAGTGGTGGTTGATCTTCTAAAACGCTCTGTATTTTGATGGTTAAAGGTAAATATATCCATCCAAGTTTTTACAAAAGACAAGGCACTTGATTTAAATCATGGAGACTATGCTTTGGCATAAAATTAAAAATGCTCCTCATTCAACGAGAAAGCGTTGCGTTCTGTAAACCCCATTATACAGGCGCACGTTTCAGGTTCTAGAAAACTGTGCAGCGTGCGGGACCGAAATCTGTACCCTAAGAAATGAGTCATCCGTACACCTCATATTGCGGATTTTAAGAAAAATTTCCGTCTGGCGGCTACCGTAGAGTCCTACCGTCCTATCGCAGCCAGGGTTACTTCCGCTCACTTGCTTTAAAAAATTGCTTTTTCGAATTTTGAAAACATTAGATGTTATAATGATAATTATTACTTGGCAGTTACAATAAGAGGTCGTGAAGTATGTGTTTGATACATAAAACCTGTCAATATTGCTTTCAGTGCGTCACAATCAGCGATTTAACGATTCGTGAGCGCTCACTCTGAGCGAACGCTCGCGAATCATTAGATCGCTTATTGTGTCGCTCTGAATGTGAAATTGACATGTTTTATGCGTCAAACAAATACTTTATACCCTCTTCTTGTTTCTTACAAGTACAACATATAATTATATCATCTAATGATTTCATAATTCCGAAAAACATTGTTTTATAGCAAGTGAGTGGAAGCAACCCTGACCGCAGCTGTCAAAGTTCTACTGCCAGTCTGAAAATGAGCTGAATACTGAAAAAAACATGGTGTGCATTGACAAATTGAAGTATATTTGCTGGCGATTCTTTAAAGCCTTGTTCATTTGGCAGCTGCGGTGGAAAGTCTTTTTACCTGGAATTAATCCGTAAGACGGACATAAATATCTGAAAGAGCAATATAAAGCGCCTACATTTTTATGAGGTGTGTGGATTTCGGTCCCGCACGGTATATTTTTACACTTTTCTTATGGCGAAGTCTGGAATCCCGTTGGCTTCAGAAAATAATGATAATCAATTTGATTTAATCGACAGTTAAGTGACAAAAAATCAGATCGAAATAAAATATAAATGATGGACACCTGGAACGGTAAAAGCGAACGAATACAGAGCGTTTACATGTATTATATTTATTTATGAATCTAACATAAACGGAAAAGTTTTAGTCACAGGTCGATGATGATAAAACCCTTGTCTAATTTTCAAAATTGAATTCAAATTTCAAAATCTGCTCGTCTACTGGATACCAACTTATCAGTTTGAATGACAACAGGACCAATTTTTTTACCTCAGCTTAAATCTTGAACCAGGTTTACCCATATAGTTAAACCTGGTTTATAAATCGACCCTAGGTAAAACTTTTCCGTGCCACCCTGCCCATATTCCGCTTTTACTATCAATGTTTGCGCATATTCCCCTCCCGCAATTGGCTTTCTTTTACATATGTGGTGTTCGGAGTGTTACCTAATATTTCATGTCTAACTACTCGCACATGCATTTGCTAATCTCCTCCACCTGTTACCTTTTCAGAAATTACCGTAGTCTTGCAGCATTTTTCACACGATCTCTGAAGGATGATGTGCGCTATGTCGATCCGAAAAGTTGCATTGTTTCTCCATGCGACGGGCGGGTACTGCATTTTGGTACCGCCAGCAATTGCCAAATCGAGCAGGTAAGCATTCCGATGAACGCCATCCCAAAATAAAACCGTAAATTTATAATCTATAAATTATAAACATCCCCATTCATCAGGTTAAGGGTGTCTCGTACAGCCTGGAAGACTTTCTCGGACCACCCACCTGGAGTGATAAGACCGATTGCCCTACTATCACCGAGAAGATCAAGAAAAAATCGCCCGACAACGTACTGTATCAGTGCATAATCTATTTGGCACCGGGTGACTATCATCGCTTCCATTCGCCGGCTGCGTGGAAACCGGAAATCAGGCGACACTTCTCGGGCGAGCTGCTATCAGTAAGTCCAAAAGTCGCCAAATGGATGCCAGGACTGTTTTGCCTGAATGAACGTGCCCTCTACATTGGCAAATGGATGCACGGATTCTTTAGCTTTACCGCAGTAGGTAAGTACTTATTTACAAACGCATATTTGTTACGCTTCAATCGTTTCCCTCCCGGATCTGAGATGTTCGAATATGGTATGATTTTTACAATTACGCGGTTATCTCGTTCAGTGTGCTCTACAGCTCAATTTGTTGCTTGAGCTTTGATGAGGTGATGTATGGTGGGAACGGTTAAAGCCCCGAGCGCGCGCTACAGTGATAAGCGCCAACGCGGATCTACGACAGCATAAATTTGACCTCAGGAAATATTCGACGTTGAATCATGCGATTGACTTACTATACCCCATGGGAAACTTTGATTAGCTACTACAACGCCTTCTAATCGATTGCACACTGTCCAGATTGAACGAAACAGAACTGTCGGTTATCAGTGGAGTAATGCAACACATCTGGGTGACTGTTTTCAGCTTGAATCGATAGTCAGTGGAAGACATCCAATCCGGGGTCACATTGCGGAATTCGAAACGATCAATTTTGTTCGGTTCGAGCATATTGAATCAAATGATCGAAATTAAGTCGACACTTAATCAGCATCATGTTGAGGAATGAATTGAAAATTGTATCATACGAAACTTAAAACGGCTGATTGCAAATTCTTATAACAAAGAGAGGTTTTTTTTAGGTAGGCGAAGTTTCATCGTTTTCTTGATCCTAGTTATCGAATATTGCCAAATGATGTTTGGGACGTTGCAACTAAGGATAATTGTTTCTAAAAATATAAGAATCTTGATTGAATGTAGAGCGATACAGACAAGCGCGGAACAGACAAAACTCGGTTTTCCGAAGGAAAAAGCGTCAGCAGGAAGACCGAGATCGCGAGGCGATGGTAAATCTGTACCATGTAAACGACACACGGAAGTTCTACGAGAAGCAAAATAGTTCGCGCAAAGGCTACGTGCCGCAAGCCGATATATGCAAGGACTCGGACGGTAGCATTCTCACGAACGAGTGTGAGGTGACTGAAATGGAAGCAGTACTATGACGAGCACCTCAACGATGATGCAGCAGAAAACGAAGGTGGCACGACAACAGACCTTGAAACGACAGAAGAAGACGACAGGCTACCGGTCCCTGATCTTCAAGAAGTTGAGGAGGAGATCGGTCGGCTGAAGAACAACAAAGCAACTCAACTACCAAGTGAGCTATTAAAATACTGTGGTGAAGCACTGGGTAATCGCCAAGATTTGGGAGGAGGAGATATTACCGGAGGAGTGGATGGAAGGTGTCGTATGCCCAATCTACAAAAAGGTCAACACACACTACTGAGCGCCGCCTACAAGGTACTCTCCCATATTCTATGCCGCCGCCTGTCACAATTTGCAAGAGAGTTCGTGGGGCAAGACCAGGCGGGAATATATGGGTGCCGCGCTACCACGGACCAAATTTTCGCGATTCAGCAGGTTCTGCAGAAATGGCGCGAATACAACGTGCCCACACATCATTTGTTCATCGATTTCAAATCCACATACGACACAATCGATCGAGATCAGCTATGGCAGATTATGCACGAGTACGGACTTCCGGATAAACTGACGCGATTGGTCAAGGCGACGATGGATCGAGTGATGTGCGTTGTTCGAGTATCGGGGACACTCTCGAGTCCCTTTGAATCTCGAAGGGGGTTACGGCAGGGTGATGGACTTTCGTGTCTGCTGTTCAACATCGCGTTAGAAGGTGTGATAGCTGGGATTGAAGGAAGTCCATCAAGCTTCTTGGCTTCGCCGATGACATTGACATCATGACACGGAACTTTGAGACGATGGCGGAAACGTACATCAGACTGAAGGCTGAAGCTAGACGGATTGGACTTGCCATCAACGCATCAAAGACAAAATACATGAAAGGAAGAGGTTCTAGGGAAGTCAATGTTAGCCTACCACCCCGAGTTCAGATTGAAGGTAACGAAATCGAGGTGGTCGATGAGTTCGTGTATTTGGGCTCACTGGTGACCGCTGAAAATGATACCAGCAGAGAAATTCAAAGACGCATTATGGCAGGGAATCGTGCCTACTTTGGACTCCGGAGGACGCTCCGGTCGAATAAAATTCGCCGCCACTCGAAGTTGACTGCCTACAAGACGCTGATTAGACCGGTGGTCCTCTACGACCACGAGACCTGGACTATGCTCGTGGAGGACCAACGCGCTCTTGGTGTTTTCGAACGGAAGGTGTTGCATACCATCTACGGTGGAGTGCAGATGGATGACGGAACGTGGAGGAGGCGAATGAACCACGAATTGCACCAGCTGCTGGGAGAACCATCCATCGTCCACATTGCAAAAATTGGGCGACTACGGTGGGCTGGGCACGTCGTAAGAATGCCGCACGACGACCCAGTGAAAATGGTTCTAGAAAGCGACCCAACAAGAACAAGAAAAAGAGGCGCGCAGCGGGCAAGGTGGATCGGCCAAGCAGAAGGCGACCTGCGGACCCTTCGCAGACTACGAGGCTGGCGAAGTGTGGCCATGGATCGAGTACAGTGTAAAAAATGTAGGGGAAGTTTGGTAGCTGGTTCACGGCACGTGTCTTATAATTGCCATTATGGTCCAAGGCACTGTTTTCACCAATGAAAGATGTATTGTTTTTGAATTCGTATGTGTTTTAAAGTTTAAAATGCAGGGTGACATCATCAAGTTGATAGCTGCTGTCATATTTTGTAGTTGAAATAAGGATCCTGTTGACTGAGTCAGAATATCCGTTGTCGTATCTTCCTTTCATAAGTTTAATCGTCAGAATGTTCTCTGCCGTGGATGCATTTGGTTTCTGAAGCATAAAAATCTCTGGTCACGTCTTCTTTCGGAAGGGAAGTAAAGCCGTTGGTTCCGGCCCATGTGTGTTAAATGGGTGCGATATTCTACGCAGGTGTGGAAGCTGCCTTCCTGCACATTCAATTACCATCAATGGATGGCAATCGATGTCCGTCGGTGGTTGGCACTAGATTGCGGAACAGAGATCGACGTTAAATAAAGGAAAGAAAATAATCCTTTGTAGAGTTGTTGTTATCACCAATAGCTCTATCGTCATCAATCTGACCAGCAGCTTGCCCATCTTCCATATTTGGACGAGTTAAAAACAAAGTAACCGTGTGGGAAAATTCCGGGAACTGCTCCGATTTGTTGTTCGAGTCAAATCCGTCGTCTTCTGAACTCTCACCGTCAACACCGTATACGTTAGTTGCTTCTAGAACTGACATTTTTATCACAGTTACGTTATATGCAACGCGAAAAGTACTAATCCAATGTTAATTTCGAAATTCACTTCTTACGTCCGAGGTAAACAACTCAAGGCGATAGTGCGCAATGGGACTGGTATGCGAGTATTTTTGCGCCCGTCAAGGAAAGTACTCGCATACCAGTCCAATATGATTTCGGCTCGTTTTTCTCGTGATAAACAAAATTTTTAATTATATTTTAGTTACAAACGATATTGTTATGTTGTAATGCAACTAATTTCAGCAGTGGTGTTATTGATAACTAGAATCAACGAGAAAAGAACAAATTATATAAATGTGGAAAGTCGTCTTTTTCTCAACATGCCGATTTTGCCGACTGAGGTGCGGGTATGGACAGTGTACTACCAACCGGTGGAAACTAACGATTTTAAATTGGCTCACTACTTGACTAGCCTATTGGTCCCAAGCAAATCGAGTAACGTACCCCATTCCAGTCGAAATTCTACTACTCTAGGACCAGAAGGTCCCGAAGAAACGTGCTCAACTTTATGGCTCAGCTCTGGTACTATCTTCGGTCCCAAGCTAATCGATTCACCCCTCGAAACATAGGAAAATCCACTTACCCCTCATTTTATCTGTCAAACTTTCATAGCGAATCAAAACAAACATAGTGTAGTACTGGAATTTATACTAGAATGGGGTGCGTTAGTCGATTTGCTTGGGACCAATAGGCTAGTCAAGTAGTAAGCCAATTTAAAATCGATAGTTTCGTATTGATTGTTGGTACGACTTAAGACTCGAGCTCAACAAATTTCAAGCCAAAGCTTGGTTTCTTAGCATTTTATAGATTACATCAACAGTGATTTCATGAGATTTCTTAAGGAATGAATTTTTAATCACATAAGACTGATGAAATGACTATCATGCATCTAGCTTATTGAACAGAACAGATTCTCTGAACCACTATGAACGTTGAAGTTACGCTAGCCTGCAAATGGTGCTTCAAACCTTACAATTCTGCTTTTGTTTTCTTTTACAGGTGCCACCAATGTTGGATCGGTTCAAATCTACATGGACGAAAAATTGAAGACAAATCAATGGGTTGGCCTGGAAGTTGGAACGCACCGGTGCAAGCAATACGACGAGCTTGTCCTACCGAATGAAGCGTTCCTGAACAAGGGAGAACTGCTGGGTCAGTTCAACATGGGCAGTACGGTTGTGCTAATCTTTGAAGCTCCACGGGATTTCAAGTATGTTTGTTTGCCGATCAATGTTTGAAAGCTTGGGGATCTAACGATGTAAATTTATTTTCAGATTTAACCTCCAACCGGGTCAAGTGGTACGTATGGGCCAGCGCGTGGGATGCGTTGGTGGCAGCGACGAACAGGTCGAAGATCTGAACAAAACTAAGAAACTGATTGAATCCATTTGATTGGAACCATATCTGCTGGCCAGCCTTTTCGCTGGAAAATAGTATGTATGGAAATCTTGATTTTTCGCTTGGAATGGTTTATGCCACGAATCCGTACCTTACAAATGTATTTGAACGATACTACGACTGCGTGATGAAATTATACACTACAGTGACTATTCCCAGCCTTATAGCGATATAATTGCTCAGTTTGACGGTCACGAGGGTTTATGTGATATTAAGCAATCGCGATCGTGCAATAGTTTACCAAAACGTGAACATCACACACTCACATCCAGAAAGCAGCCGAAATCATTGCATGCGTAGTACATATTGTACATGTATTCGTTGAAATAAATAGGATTACAACAGAAATGATAGGACTTTTCTAGGACGATTGAGTGCCATCTTTCCCTCGAGTTGTGTGCAAAAGTTTCAGATTTTGTTTGTTCACCAAATTAGTTTAAGTTATAAAAGAAACCATCAGTACTGGTTGAATACGTATTCTAGTTAACTTGAAAATTATGAATGTTTGAGATGTTTTGTAAATAAAACATAATTTTTAAGCGTAGGAGCTATTCTTATATTACAAAGGTGTCTTTCTTTCCTTCTTGTTTTTCTTCGAATTCCAAATAGTTGAAGCTCATTCATTTATTTATTCTTGAAACAATTGGTATTTTACAGCTTTATTTAGTCTCGGATGGGTTAAAATTAAATAGGATATTTTTTGCATAAAATATTTTAAACGTAGTAAAGTTATGGAACTTACAATAAATATCTACCTTTTCAATAGTTGATTTTCAACGCTTTACAGCGTATGTACATCATAGGTAAATAATTCTTTCTTTAGTCAATACTGTCAATAGGAGATGTACGCTTATATTTTTCCCTACTGATCTTATCTCACTAATAGTACGAACTTGAAATGCAGTTCATTTCATTCCATTTCAATCAGCAAACTTGTACGCTGCTAAAAGACATCTATCACGATATTTTCGAATATATTTAACCAAAATCTTCTTGGAAACTTCATGTGATCACTGCTTTAAAAAAATCTTATAGGGATGATACCTTACATGTTTCTAATCAATCGTTATACAATCTGTCATTTATCGATACAATTTTGCTCAGATAAATTTTATCTGCCGTAAGTCTTTTCGCCTAATAGTGGGATCGATTATCTACACAAAGCTATCACCTAAAATTAAGCAAGCAGTAAAAGCGAGGAACTTAACTGGATTAAGTACTACTACGGATCGTATAGAATCAGAAGCGTCTCTGCCTGTGATGCCTAGGATGAGGCCATTAGTTTGGCCGCTTGTATAACATTATGCTGGTGGTGGTACCCAGCGAGATCGGCAGCCGTACTGTGATGATGGTGGTGATGGTGTGTATGAGGTAGGGCTCCATTGACCGTTCCGCCCATGCCGGAATGGGGACTGTGATGAGAGTGTAATGATCCAAATGTGCCTCCAAAGTATCCACTCTGGAGGCAGTTGTTCATGTAGTCACCGTAGCCATTGGAACCCATCGAGGTAGGAGTCGAAGAAGCCAGCGGGTTGGATTCCGATTTGATCTGACCAAACGGTGAAGAACCTATGCTGGTGCCGGTGTTATGCATGTAGCTGTTTGCTGCTGAATGGTGACTTGTATTGGACGTTGGAGTTGCATAGAGGTGAGAAGTGTTGTGTGATTGGTGTTGAGATGACGAAGCCGTTCCGTTGCCATTACCACCACCGCCACCCAACGTTCCTGCTGTGGACAGCGAGGAGAGATCATATTTACCACCGAGGTTCAACGACGTGACATGGTGAGATGATGCTAGCGATGAAGGAAGGTTATACGACTGGTGATGGTGATGATGGTGTGGCGAAATGTGGAGAGATCTCAGCGGAGGCGATGTCAGATTCGGAGTTTTCGGACTAACTGATAGGTTTTTGGAGTTTCCATTGCGATCGGTTTGCAGGTGAGATCCTGTGAATGAAAAAAATTAAAAACTATCAGACAATGCGTTTGCGAATTACAGCTAACTTTATCGTCCAAGGTTCTGAATGACTAAAAATAACTGAAAGAGTAATCAAGAACTAAACCATTACGGATTTCAGGCTATTAATTGGGAATATTCCTGGAAATTTACCAAATATTATGTGACCCGATCCCGGGAAACACATTTTTTACAGATGATAGGCTAAATAAAATATGAATTTTGAATAAAAATAGACCGAATCAAGCGAGAAATCATCACAGAGAAATTTACTCCATGTACAACTATCGACAGAAGAAGCGAAACTTCCAAAGGAAACTTATATAAAACTCTTTGAAGAAGTTGGAAAACTAGGTGAAGTGACAGGCTCGGTAGCTTAGTGGTTACCGTTTCTGCGTACTGAGCAGAAGGTTTGGGAGCTCAATCGCAGGCCCGTCCCCTTCTTTGCAATTTTTCACTATGCCTTATTATATCCCCATTGCTATTATAAATCTGTCAGCAACGTTTACCAAAAGTATCCTATGGCTTTACCGTCCTCACTAACAAACCTCCAAAACTTCTGTGGCACTTATGAGAGGTCATAGAGTTCGCTCCACTTGTCTTAAGTAAGTTTCCAACAAGCAATCCTTCCCATCCTCAGCAGTTCCAAGGGCGTGGCCAGAACAGTTCTCGATTGATGGAGATAGTGCTACTCCCATCTAAGGAGGCCGAGATAAAACCCTAACCTCGGTCAATACGGTAACGGACGGAGGTAGCAATACTCTCTCAAACAATGGTCTAGGACTTGTACCACCTAGAGTCGGTGTATAATGAGTCACGCCAAGAGTGAAACCAAGTCTACCTATTGAACTGTCAAACCGGCTACCTATCGTGCAAAGTAAATAAACATTACGATGCTATGAAAGGTCCACGAAAGGTATTGCAATAAAATATAAAATATAATCGAAGAAATGAGCATAAACACGCAGTGAGCGTTAAATTGTTATGGGATTCGCTCGGTAAGGATTAGTTATGAGAATTTCTACTATTTTTTGTTAAGATATAACTGCTGGAACTTTTTTAAGCTGAAGCCAATGAATCCAATTGCTCTGGAATTAGGACCAGTGAACTGTACCACGGCAAAGTGAAATTTTCTTAGTGAAAAGCCGGAAGATCAACCCTAATGAATGTTGCAGGAATTATTGTTTATAATTTAATTTTATAACTAATATTGTTGCTTGTGTTATAGTATATTGTATGGATAGGTAATTTTAATGAATAAAATCTAGATTTTCAATTTGGAAAGTAAAATTTAAAAACATCCATCAAAAGTGAAATTGAAAAACAAAACAATAATTACCATGCCATAGTAAAACATCATAGAGCATAGTAAATTCAACAATTATTTTATAGCAGAATGTACCTAAGCCAATGTACAAACCCGTACTAAAAATGAGAGCATTCTCAGTTGGAAATACAATAAACTGAGAATGTTTACTGAACAGTATTTTTGACTACACTTGTGCTCGTTGTGAACACATGATGTAGTCTGCAAAAAAACATAGGTACGTTACGTTTAATTTAAACCACCAATATGGTAGATTCTACTGCACCATTCCTTTCCGTGTACGAATGCGAATGCAAAGTCGAAAAAATACTTCCATTGCAAGTTTTAGGAAACTTCCAAAGGAAGCTGGCAGAAAAACCATCTGGGATAATTCCAAAGAAAGAATTCAAGAATAAATTTTTAGAAGGAGACAAAAAAAAAGTAAAGGTGTCACCCCAGCAGGCCCAATCTCAGTCGGCGCCGCTGGGATGTTCTGAGGCATAATATCTCTGATCATCCTTCGGAAGGGAAGCAAAGCCGTTGGTCCCCGGTTCATGAGTTGATGGGTCCAGGTGTGGGAGCTGCCTCACTGGCGTCGGTAGCATTGGTGCTCAACACGGATAACAAGATCGACGGAAAACAAATCAAGTAAAAAAAAAAGTTCGTATAAGTTTGGAGAAAGCTGGAGAAAAACTAATGGCGATGATAGAAGAAACTCCCGAGGGAAGTCAGAAGACACCGTGAGATGCTAAAAAAAATCAAGGGAAAGTAGAACGACACTTCCAGCGGCAGGAAGAAGAAATGTCAACCCCCTGTTCCCCACTGCTCTTTCAATGCGTTTTGAGTTCCCCAACAACTGCGCAAAATTTGATCAAATTAGGTTATGATCTCGATTTGCGGGAGAATTTTAAATTTTGTATAGGAAACGAAACTATTCTATAATTCATTTGCTAACCAAAGTGCTTAGATTAAATTTTACATTTTTAAAAAATTCTAACAATCCCCACCCAATTAACAGATATGTACATAATAGTTAAAAATGTTTAAAATATTTGCAGCACTTGAATTTACAAATAAAAAACTGCTATTATTTTGAACAATTTTACCTGGTGTCTCACTTTCCGGCAGGTGCTTCCAAAAATTTGGTATTTTGTAATCGTAAAATTGAACATATTTGTAGTTCTGTGCCGAACGTTTCAGCTCAAGTGATCATAAGTTAACAAAGTTACATCATGTCAAAGTTGACCATTTTGTATGAAAATCGGCATGCGCTGGTATTTTATCGAACACAACTGTACATGCTCATACGCCAGTAAGTATGCGCGGAGCCATAGGTCAAAATTAATACAATAATTACGTTTTTCTGAATAGTTTTCCCAATTTGGTGAAATTTGAGTAATATTTGAATTTTCGGCAAGCAAATGAATCGGTTCGTTTCATTTCCCATATAAAATTTCAAATTTTCCAGCAAATCCAGATCATAACGAAATTTGTTCTAATTTGACACCGTTGTTGGGGACCTCTAAACTGCCCTTTTCGGCATAACTGTCCCATTCGTAAAAACATCAAACCGAGAAAAATGCATTTGAAAGTTTTCATTGATTTCTTTTAATTTTAAACAATTCACTTTAAACAATTAGAGTTACCTCTATGGTAGTAGCATAGAGGTAACTCTAAGACCAAAAGGTCCCGAAGAAACGCGCTCAACTTTTTGGCTCAGCTCTGGTACTATCTTCGGTCCCAAGCTAATCGATGCACCCCTCGAAACATAGGAAAATCCACGAACCCCTAATTTTATCTGTCAAACTTTCATAGCTAATCAAAACAAACATAGTGTTGTACTAGAATTTCAACTAGAATGGGGTACGCTAATCGATTTGCTTGGGACCAATAGGCTAGTCAAGTAGTACAGCTTACATTAATCCATTGAATGATTATAAAAGTTTCGTGGTCATTTGATAGGGACTGACCGGTATTCAATGATGATGATGCAGTAGTTTTCAATTTTTTTTTCGACCTACTTTGAGAACTTTCATAAGCTCGCGCGACCTACCAATATTGAATACAGATTTTAGAACTGACTAGAATTGTCAAGGCCTGAAAAGGCTGAAATAGTATTTAAAATTGTCTAGAAATTCTTAAAAATAGTTTTAAAAACGCTGAAATAACCTTGAAAACGTCAAAACGCCAAAATCACTTTAAAAAAAAACGCCAAATAGCCACAAATCTTTGAAATGTCGTACCAATTGTTAGAATAATTCAGAAATCCAAAGCACCACTCTCATAATAATCATGAATGATATTGAAAATTCAAAGTGATTTTGAATCGCAAAATATTTAAGAATATTTCAGATCAGGGTGGCTAACCGTTCACCTTTTTTAAATTCCCGGGTTGTTCCAGGTTTATATAAAATAATTTTCCCGGTACATAAACATGTTTAAATGTTGTGTTCACGTACTTTTAAAAAATCTCAGTTTGGAACATGTTCCCTCATAATGTTCAATGATCACACGATATTAATTTATGGAGCAAAAATCAATTGTCACTCATCAATTGACGAAAGGATAAGTTTCAAGCCGAAAAATTTACACGTTATGTGATTTTAAAATATGCAGTGATATTTTGTGTGAATATTACCTACTAGATATTGGATTAATCAATGAGCCTTTTTGCCTACACCAAGTGCTTCTCGCTGTCAAAAATGTCAATTGGCATGGGGTTATTCAAATATGAAACCACCCCTGGAGAGGGCGGTCCTAGAATTTATGACAATACGTGTTATAGAGATTACTGACGTTTAACGCACGCACACTTGCGGGTGCATCGCCGTGTAAAGTTGTTTTATATTTTCCTCTGGCTAACCTAAAAAATGAATGAAATTAGATCTGTCAAAATGAGTTTTACAGCGATTTGTTATGTATTTTCCTCGGATTTTCACTAACACGCTCTCACATATCGCACCAATACAAACGGACGTGAAAATCTCTATAGCTTGATTGGAGTTGTAGAAAGCAGTGCCTGTTTTATCATTTACTATTACATGGAAGAAGTAGCGCCAGCCGGTGGAAACTAACGATTTTAAATTGGCTAACTACTTGACTGCCTATTGGTCCCAAGCAAATCGATTAACATACCCCATTCTAGTCGAATTTCTAGTACTACACTATGTTTGTTTTGATTCGCTAGGAAAGTTTGACAGGTAAAATGAGAGGTTCGTGGATTTTCCTATGTTGAACTTTGCTGAACTTTGAATTCCAGTATGTTCCCAAACGATATCAATGTCATTTGCGCCCTGACATTGAGGTGAGTGACATTCACAGATAAAAATTCTGAATTTTAATTGTGATGTATTCATTCATTCACGTAGACTTGTATTTCATTCCACGCAACCGAGCAACTTGCAAACAATGTTGTTTACAAAGATGGGCTGTATACAATCTTTGCTACATTGCATGAAATGTGTCAGAACTTTACATGATATATAATGTAAACGTATATGATATGTGACGCTCCATTTATGTGCATCATATTGAACAGAAATTTACACTACTTTTTCGAACTGTGTAGTTTTAAATTTAATAAAAAAAAAGAAGAAAAGAGACGAATCAGCTCAGGGTTGAAAGTCTCTATAATAAGAAAACGATTTATCGGAAAAAAAATGCACTGTGTGGAACTTTCAATAAATACAGTGAAATTTCCAATGGAAGCTTCTGGAAGCTTTTTCAAGTGATTTGAAATAGCCAGTGAAGTGGAATTTTTTTCTGGAAATATAGAAGAAACTACTAGAGGGAGCTGATAGAATATGTTGGGAAATAAACTTCCTGGAAAAGTCAGAAGGAATTTACAAAGAAAAAAGACCTTTCGTCCCCGTTGGAAGAAACTTTCAGAGAAAGTTTAAAGAAACTTCTACAGGATCTTCTCAGGTAGGTTGGAAGGAGCTTCCCAGATCAATCATATCCAGTGTCAATTAGAAGAATTTTTCAGAGCAAGTCTGGAAAAAAAAAACTGTCAGATGATTTTGGACAAATCTTCAGGAGGAAGCCAGAAGTACTTCTGGTGAAAGCCGGAATATACTTCTATAAGAAGTTGCAGGAATCTCCCAGTGGATGTCAGAAGAACCTCGAAGTCCTAATAATATTGGAACAAGCTTGCGCGGAAAGATGTATGAAAATTCCGGGTAAAGTCAGAAGGAATTCAGGAGTAGTCGGAAGACATATTCAGGGCAAATCAGAAAACACTTCCAGGAGAAGTCGGAAGAAACTTCCAGGGGATGTCAGAAAAATCTTTCAAAGGAAATCGGATGAAACTTCCGGAGGTAGTTAGAAGCAATTTACTGAAGGAAGTTAGAAAAAATCGGGGAAAGGTTAAAAAAATTAAACTTTCTGGAGTAGTTGTTACCGTAATGACTGGATTTTTTCAGCCCCATAAGATTAAGAATTTTATCGTTCAATAATGTCACACAACCGTAATTGAAAATCTTTTTCAAGATTTGGATGGAAGATGGATGCTTAAGGTACATATGAGTCAAATAGACTTAAGAATTTCATAAGACTCGACTCATGAAAGACACATGTGAATTTTATAAGCGCGACTTATGAGTCTAACATGAGGTAGCTCTTACACCGACAAACCGACACCGACAAAAACAATAAAATTTCTGACCAAAGCACACTACCGATATCTGGCTCCGCGTTCGCGGGAAATATTTAGCTAATCCATGCACCCGCATGCAAAAGTTATGAATTAGTTCGTGTCTGATCTATTTTGGACAAATTATTTTTATCTAGATAAAAAATCGTATGGTTTTAAAAGTTCGGATCACTGCACATTTAAATCGGCCGTTAACGATTTTCGGGTATAAGTCAGAATTAAGTGTCATGTCGGTTTGTCGGTGGCTTTTATACGGCCTTAGCCATTCCTTTTTCCAAGCGTTGACAGACGAGTGGTCCAGTATCAGGAACCGTAATCTCATCGTCCATGGTTCGATTCCAGTCTGCTCCGGTTTATTATTTTTATGCCGACATAATTATTCATAAGGCAGATTAATGAAATTTATTTATTTATTTCGTCAACCAACGTAGACTAGTAGTGGTACGAGGGGCATAGTGAGCATCCCGCAGTTTGGCTAATGGAAAATACTGAATACTGACGCCATCACAGTAATGTTTGAGGTTTCCATAATCTATTCAGCATATTCGATCTTCAGCAAACGGAACTTATGTCATGATATTTTAATGGATGTTTCCACCATGTTTACCTTTTAGCATAACTATCATATGTAGAATAACTATCATATGTAGAAAAACTATACCATAACCACCCAGCATAATTAAACCATTGATAATGGCTCTTGATTCAAAGGTATTTCAAATTTCATTGTTGCAAAATGTATCAATACGAAAATTAATTATAGAATCGACGTACACACTTCAATTTTTTCGCCGAGTTTCCAACAGCCGAGCAGTTCTGCAATTTATTTGGCTGAGATTCAGTAAAACAATTGCCGAGGCTCAGCTAACAAATAACAATTCGCTGAAATATCAGCTAACAAAAAGATATTTTGCAGAGATATCAGCAAAAGTAAATGCCGAGGTAATCTGCTGTTGGAGATTTTACCGAGCTAGATTAAGTGTGTAGAAATCTAAGTTGATTAACAAAAAAATAACGTTGCGTTGAAAATCTGTGCAAAATAAACCTGTCGACCTGTCGGTTCTTGGATTCCAAAATGGCGTGAATCATCGATTTTCGGTTTCTACTTGTCATCCCCGTTTCGAAAATATCCATATTGTAGGGGTATTCGACAGTTTCTCACAAACCGGAAGTCGCCATCTTGGATTCCAAAATGGCGTGAATCATCGATTTCCGACCTCTACATGTCGTTCCTATTCCGAAAATATGTACCCATATTGTCCGGTGAACCTAGTACACTTCCAAGTTGGTGAAGTAAGATGTAGTACACATCCAAATTTGTTTCCATTCCTCAGAAAACACTTAGAATTTGTTGGCTCTTCAACCGCGTTATTTAAAAAAAAAAAAACTGTGTGAAAAAGTGCGTTATTTCGAAAATTGTCGTAAAAAGACTTGAGTGTACTAAAGAATGAACTGTACATATTCGAGCCTAAATATTAACTGAATTAAATACTGTTAAATTATTTTAATGATTATCGGAATATTTGCGAAACAGGATAAGTTGGTGAAGTTAGCCATAAATTATTAACGATTGTTTTGATCACTTTTTGATTTGATTTGATGGTTGAACATTTAAAAAAAAAGCTTGCCATGAAACATCAAACTCACCATCGTTCATGTCGTCCTTTTTGCCGCCTACCAGGGCCATTACATCAGTCGCTCCGCCGGACCCCGCTTTCTTCGGTTTCCGCTTCCGCGTCTGTATGCCATCCTTGCGCATTGCCAGCGGTCGGTTGACACCGTGCAGTTTGAAATACAACCCACAGGCATTGCACACCGGTTCGCCGTCGTTGTTTCTTCTCCAGAGCGTCGTCGTACGCGTGCCACAATTAGTACAGCATAGACCCAACCGACGCGTCGCAGTCTGCAAGACAAATGAGAGAGAAAATCGTACTAAATTATTACAGTTTTTGCCTGGCATTTGCCTTTTAAAAGGGGAGAGCCAGTGGGGTTCGGATCTCTACTCAACAAGAGAGGATTGGGAGAAAGGAAGCTATTTTGTTATACAAAACTGGAATACTCACACTCACCAATCTCTTGCTTGGCTTTATCAAGGGACGATTCATACCGTTCATCTTATGATAGAGCCCGCATGCATTGCAGAGATAGTGACCGGTGCCGTCGCGACGCCAGAGTGGTGTTGAGATGGCCCCACAATTGACACACTCCCGTCCCTCGCCGAACTGGAAGTCCATTGCACTGTCTGTGTATGCGTGTTTTGTGTAGATGAATTTCGCGCCCGATCCACCCACGCCCAGCGCCATTGGTCGATTGCAATTAATTTATTTCACGCCAGGTCGAAGTTAAGGCCATTAATTAATCGAGTTTATTGGAGCAATTTAGTCGGACGAAGGACGCGTGCAATAACAACATTATTTTACATTTCAGTACAGCCCCCAGCAGGAAGGCAGAGAGTGTGTTTCATGATTGGTGTGGTAGTGGGTGGAATTTAGAACCGCCGCCGCAGTGGGAGAGTTATACGAATGAAAAAACGAGAAGGGGAAAGAGAAAATGCTTTAGTTAATTTATTCGCTAGTTATTACCTTTTTCAAATTACCATATGGTGACGTTCGCTGGAATCCGGTTGGGTCGTAGGCGCGCCAGGAGCCCATCATCACGTTTTGCGCGTAGAACTGAGGCGGCAGCTGGGTATGGGTCGTGGCTGATGTTTTATTTTCCCGATGAACATTTTGTCATGTTCCGATTCGCAAAGGGGATTTTCGTGTTTGTTGTCGGTTTCGGATTGAATCAGAAGGAGGAGAGAGGGGTAGAACAAAATGGAGAATGTTAAACGTGTGGCACGATTTCGGGATTAGCTAGTTAAGGGGAAGAAAACTGTAGCATAAATAATTTGAGCCAAATGGAACGAGTTTTTCAAAACTAATACAACGAATGGTTGCTTTTGCAGGTTTTGTTATGTATTTGCATGTCAAGGTCTAAATATACTAAGCTTATATTTTCTTAGATGCTGATGCATTAAATTATATAATAGGCACAGCAAAACAATTTTGACATTTCTTTCACGTAAAATTGTATTTCATTTCATGCAAACGAGCAACTTGTAAGCAATATTGTTTACAAAGATGGGCTTTTGTATAAATATGGGTAAAATTTCATGAAATGTCTCACACCTTTACACGACTTATAATGTGAACTTATATGACATGTGACGCTCCATTTATGTGCATCATATTGAACAGAAAATTACACTACTTTTTCCAACTGTGTGGCTAAATTACGGTTGATGATTTCAGACATTTTCATGTATACATTGTTTTATCCTTTTCATACATTGTCACTGCGACAGTTTCATGTAAACTTAGAAGTCAGTCAGTGACAGCAACTTACTCTGCGCCGGAAAAATGCACAGCAAAAAAATCTGAATTATAATTGTGATGTAAACATTCATTTTAAACTTGTATTTCATTTCACGGAAAGGAGCAAGTTGAAAGCAATCTTGTTTGCAAATGTGGGCTTTTGTATACAATATTTGCAAAATTTCATGAAATGTCTCAGAACTTTACACGATTTATAATGTAAACTTAGAAATTTTCAAACAAATTTTTACAAATTACACTACTTTTTCGAACTGTGTGGTTTTCAGAGTTTGATTAAGAATCACAAACACCTGCTCTAGTGTTTTCGAGCTATTTCACCCAAAGAACAAATCTATATAAACATTCATTCATTCATTTATTCGTCAATGACAAGTATTCACCTGGTAACCAAAGTGTGATTTCTTCCATTATGTGTCACATAATTGTTATCCAAGTAGTTCAGGACATAGATGTTTGTTCACTTTAACAGCTCCATGTAATTGTTTTGCTCATGTTATTTAACTTCGTTAAACATTTAACTAATACAAAAATTTGCACATGTTCGTCACTGACAATTGACACGGTTTGCCTTGGCGATGACTGTTAGCTCAAATGAGTGACCAAAGCAGAATTTTGAATATCGCCGTGTATTGGCGAGATTTTGCAGCACTGTTAGCAGCTAATCTAAAATCACTCATCAACTTATACCCAACTGTTACATATACAATTCATAGGGGGATCCAAGAGAATGTCTAATAGATTTTCAAATAAAGTACCTCAAAACAGTTTTGCTATTTTCATGACATTTTTTTCAATTGCTTGCAGAACAAGTAATTAACATCACATTGAAATGCAAAACACTTTAAATCCATCTGTTTTGAACAGTAGTTTGATTCAATGCGCAAAACATTTGAACTGATAGTGAAAGATTTTCAACATTTCAAAGTTTGAAATACTAAAAATCAACGTGTATAACACATTGAATCAAAGTGAAATACACTTTAAATAAATGTTATAGTGCATTTTAAAAATTTCTATAAGACGAATGTGCTTTTTTCAGTCTACTCAAATAAAGTACTCAAAATATGAAGAAACATTCTAGAAAACATCAAAATACTACACTCAATAGTTTCGTCGCAAATAGCAATGTCCCACTTTTTTTTTTTTTTTTCTTTTTTTTTTTTTTTTTTTTTTTTTTTTTTTAACTCTTTATTTGTTCCAAATTCAAAATAAATTACATTTCATTTTAACCTAGGTGCTCCAGTTACTGCAGTAACGTACCAGCCTTAATTGTTATGATATATATCTAAGTGTTTTTACATTGTTCATGTCTTGGCAATTCAGTATTTTAAACAGGTTTTTTAACCTGCATGTCAGTATAACAATTGATATCTTAAAACTAAAAACTAAAACTAAATCTTATCTAAGTATAAAGGGAATTAATCGTTGCAATTGAGGATTGCAACGATTTTTGCCTGAAATTATTAATTATTTTGTTGGACATTTGTGCTAAAGTCTCAACATTCGAAATTCTATGTACTTCGGTTGTACTGTACCAGGGAGGCAACTTCAAAATCATTTTCAGAATTTTGTTCTGAATCCTTTGAAGTGCTTTTTTCCTGGTAGTGCAGCAACTAGACCATATTGGCACAGCGTAAAGCATGGCCGGTCTAAAAACTTGTTTAAATATTAGAAGTTTATTCGTCAGGCAAAGTTTGGATTTCCTGTTTATAAGAGGATACAAACATTTTATATATTTGTTACATTTGGCTTGAATGCCCTCAATGTGATCTTTAAAAGTTAATTTTTGGTCAAGTATTAATCCAAGATATTTCACTTGGTTTGACCAGGAAATTGGAACTCCGTTCATAGTGACTATGTGACTACTACTAGGTTTCAAAAACGAAGCTCTAGGCTTATGTGGAAATATTATAAGTTGAGTTTTGGAAGCGTTGGGAGAAATCTTCCATTTTTGTAAATAAGAAGAGAAAATATCTAAACTTTTCTGCAGTCTGCTGCAAATAACACGAAGACTTCTTCCTTTAGCGGAAATGCCTGTGTCATCAGCGAACAAAGATTTGTGGCAACCCTGAGGCAAATCAGGGAGGTCCGAAGTGAAAATGTTATACAATATAGGCCCAAGAATGCTACCCTGAGGAACTCCTGCCCTAACAGGTAGTCGATTAGATTTGGAATTTTGATAATTTACTTGAAGAGTTCTGTCAGTTAAATAATTTTGAACTAATTTCATAATATAAAGTGGAAAATTAAACTTTTTCAATTTAGCAATCAAACCTTCATGCCAAACACTGTCGAATGCTTTTTCTATGTCTAGAAGAGCAACTCCAGTTGAGTGGCCTTCAGATTTGTTTGAACGAATTAAATTGTTAACTCTTAAGAGTTGATGAGTAGTTGAATGCCCATGGCGAAATCCAAACTGCTCATCTGCAAAAATTGAGTTCGTATTGATGTGAAACATCATTCTATTCAAAATTATCTTTTCAAAAAGTTTACTTATTGAAGAAAGCAAACTTATTGGGCGGTAGCTAGAAGCTTCAGCTGGATTTTTATCCGGCTTCAAAATTGGAACAACTTTTGCATTTTTCCATTTATCAGGAAAGTATGCCAAATGGAAACATCTGTTAAATAATTTTACCAAGAAAGACAAGGTACTCTCTGGGAGTTTTTTGATGAGGATATAGAAAATTCCATCATCACCTGGAGCTTTCATATTTTGAAAATTTTTAGTTATAGACCTTACTTCGTCCAAATCAGTCCCCCAGGAATCATCAAAAATATTTTCCCGAGAGAAAATATTCAGAAAATCCCGAGCAACCTGATTCTCAATAGGACTAGTAAGACCCAAACTGAAATTATGGGAACTCTCGAATTGCTTAGCAAGTTTCTGAGCTTTTTCCAAATTTGTGATCAAAATTTTACCACCTTCTTTAAGCGCTGGAATAGGCTCTTGAGGTTTTTTCAAAATTTTTGTGAGTTTCCAAAAGGGTTTGGAACTCGGGTCTAATTTAGAAATATTATTTTCAAAAGTTTTGTTCCTCAGGGCAGAGAATCGCTTTTTAATTTGTTTTTGCAAATCCCGCCAGATAACTTTTAAGAGATTCAAGAGCATAATTAATTTCATCTTTGGTTTGCAAAGGAATGTTTGGATCGAAGTTATATTCCATAAATGTTCGATACTGCTCCCAATCAGCTCTATGGTAATTGAAAGTAGAGCTGTTGGGATTACAAATTATTTCTTGGGATATTTCAAAAGTTACTGGAAGGTGATCAGAACCGAAGTCAGCATGGGTAACCAATTGGCTACAAAGTTGACATGAATCAGTTAAGACCAAATCAATAGTGGAGGGATTTCTTGCAGAAGAAAAGCATGTTGGGCTGTTTGGATATTGAATAGTGTAATAACCTGCAGAACAATCATCAAACAGAATATTACCATTGAAATTGCTTTGAGCATTATTCCATGAGCGGTGTTTTGCATTAAAATCACCAATAATGAAGAATTTAGACCTATGACGGGTAAGTTTCTGGAGGTCACCCTTGAGAAAATTCTTTTGCTGGCCTACGCATTGGAATGGCAAATAGGCAGCTATAAACGTAAGTTGTCCAAATTTTGTTTCAACAGAAACCCCCAAAGTTTCAAAAACTTTGGTTTCAAATGAAGAAAGAATTTTATGTTTGATTCGTCTATGAATAATGATGGCAACGCCACCACAGGGTCCATCAAGACGATCATTTCTATAAATCAAGTAATTTGCGTCCTTCTTAACCTTATGGGCAGGTTTAAGGAACGTTTCAGTTATAACGGCAATATGCACGTTATGAACTCTCAAAAAGTTAAATAGCTCGTCTTCATTATCTTTAAGAGATCGAGCATTCCAATTTACAATATTTAATGCTTTAAAATCCATTACTGAATTTTAAAGTCATGACAATATTATTTGCAAATTTTACTCCAGTTTGAATAGCATCAAACATGGAGTTAGATTTAAGCATATCAGAAATCATGTCAATTAATGAATTCTGTAAAAATTCCATTTTGGGGGCAGTAATGCTTCCTAAGTCAAAATTGTCAAAATTTCCGTTAGAACGTTGGTTAGTATTTTGATTTCTACCCGCTGCAATAGCAGCATAGGTAGCTCCATTAACTCGCTGAACATTGTTAGCAGCGAGGGGAGTAGGTACAGATGAAACATTTGAAGCAGGGGTGATATTTGTACCTACGGGTACGAATGTAGAATTTGTTCCTCGCTGACCGTTGTTAACAGCAGAGGAATGTGTACCTGGTCGGAAACGTGGAGCGCTTCCTACCTGACGGTTAGAACGA